CAAACGCTAGCCACATACAGCCGGAATCAGCCGGACTTTCAGGACCTGCTTTCGTCCCTTGCATCTTGCAAGCAATGGGTCTAATCCACTGATTGACTGCAAGGACGTTTGTTGATCCTGAATGGGGTGGCGCGGTCGCAGCCAGCGTTGCTACATGCGACTTTCGATGGAATCCAAGTTGAAGGCGACTGCCAGTGCCGAGGCTTTAGTGCCATCACACATTATGCTGCGCTTCGGCATTACAGATGCGCAGACCCGAGCTTCAAGACCCCTTCATCGTTAGAGTTAGAGCATTGGATCCTTGATCCTATCCGCATGCCAGATGTCTTCACTCTTCACGTTCCCGATGGCTCAGGTCGCAGAAGTGGCAGACCTTTTACACTCATGATGCTGCGCATCATCACAGGCCAAGTCGAAATCTGATGTGCATCCAGAGTTCCAGTGCAATGAAGTGCCGAAGCCTCTCGTTAAAGACAGCCTGTCCAGGCCGCACACATCAGATTCGTGTTCATATCGCCGAATTAGGGTTAGCTGCCGGACTGGAAACAGCCGGCATCGCGGGGGATGCATCTGTGCTAGATCAGCTTGAGGTTGAGTCGAGGTGTTGCTATTATTTCTGCATGGCCAGTCATCGAAGTGATTCCAATGACCGAGGCCAAGTATCTCGACTCTGCCGCATTTGCTGGCGATGTGGCACTCTTCCAGCGCGCTTCGCAGGGGCTCGCAAAGGCAGCATGGCATCAGAATGGCTGGTGGTAGTTTGCAGGGAGTGGAGCAGGGTTGGGCACACGACAGAGGTTCTTGACAACAAAGTCAGAACATACACCAGGTGGCGGCACCATCACGTTTCTCACGCTGCCTTGTGCCGAAACCTTGTTTTGCTTTCTGATTCCGTTGTACCGTCCTCCTGTCGGCTGTTGAGAGGCAGAGACGAAGCTAACTCTTGAGAGGTAGTTTCGAAATTTCGGTACCTGTCCAGGTTATCGAGCCACGACTTTGCCTGCCGCTGAGAGTTGCAAGATGTTCCGTTTCAGCTAGCAACTTCTCTCTGACCTCCACTTTACCGCAAGTGATGCACCAGAATGTAACAGGTTTGCATGCGTGCTCACTGGGATTCCGGACTCCACAGAGCAGATCATATCTTACGGTCGCTCGCCTTAATGTCAAATATCTCTGTGAGGTCTTGCGTCTTGTGGCGCAGTGATGCAACAAGAAGCAATCAGGACCTGTTTGCTTGAGAATCTCCCACCCACTGTGCAGTGAGCTCCGATTCCTCTCATGGCCAGCAACCGCCCTATTTCGAACAGCCAAAGACCCCGGAACCTAGGAAACACATCAATCTGAGAGCTTCGCAGAGCTGTCGGGCTTGTGGTGTCGCAGTCGTCAGTGCCGCCAGCACATGCAGGTAGCTCTAATTTCGTTACAGGGCTTATGCTCGGCGGATTTCATCCTTCTTGCAGAGCTGGGGCGTCTTTGGCCGGCGTGTGCCGGCATGGCCTTGCGCCTCCATCCGTGAAACTCTAAACTCTTAACTTGCTACAATCAGGCCCCAGGCTGTGCGGCCGTTGCAGGGATGCTAGACAGAATCAGGCGCTGTCAGAATGACCCCAGGTATGAAGTGAAGCCCTCAAAGCTTTTGAACCTTGGGCTTCTCAGCTGACAAGGTGAAGTGCGGCCTGCCCTCGGCGACTTGGTTGACCATTTGGGGAGCCGCCTTTCAATACACCTTCCCGAGGACATGGCCGCCATCATTAACAACGAACTGGTGGAAGAGACGAAGTGTGCGAACGGCTGCGGATCGTTGGCCGAGAGCGGCCTTTGGATCCTCAGGCTCAGCACCGAAGCGACGTTCACCACGTGTGCACTGCATGGGCTGTCCTGCGCACGTCGCTTGCCAGACTCCTGCCAGGGAACTCAAAGCAGCAGCGGCAAAGGCCTGGCTAAAGGGCGAAGACGACCTGCTCGACCTGCGACTTGCGCTCTTGAGGCTAGCTGGGATGCACACCATGCACGAGGGCATCGAGCCCTCTTACTGGCTTTTGAAGCATGGGCATGGGCGTACCGGCAGAGGCCTCGTCTTCTCGCTTGCGTCCTGCATCCGCTTGCATGGCGTACTCGTAGGCCGTCATAGGCCTTCGTAGGCACCGCAGGTTCCATTGTTTCGCAGTGCTTTCTTTGTTGCGTGTGTGCGGGATAGATTTTTCGTTTGTTTGTTTTGAGTCTTCCTCTGGAGTCCGCCACACACGGCTGACACTGCACCCCAGAAAAGTATCGATCGTGCCTTGTATCAGGCAGACAGACTCAGATGACACCAGCGAGGCGTCGACAGATGCCCGACCGAGTACATACAGTCATCCTGGTGCGTTGACGTAGGGCTGTCCTTCGATTCAGTGAACCGCCACAAAGACTGCGAGTCTGAGGAGCAGGTTGACACCTTCCCAGAACCTGGGAAGGACGGATGGAGGAAGCTGTTGGGTCGGCTGTTGCTCAAGGACGGGTGACCTTCAAAGTGCTTTGAGCAATGGGTTCTCAGATCATTCCGTTCAGGTTGATACATCGGTGGGCCTTCTTGTTTGAAAAGCCGGCCGGGCATGTGAGCGCTCGTAGCAAGCGGCAAGATTGTGGCCTCAAGCGGTAGGGTCGACACACTTAGAACGCTGTGACTAAAGGAGCTGAGGCCCTGGCCCTGGCAGATGAAAATGATGAAAGGTGATGAAAGCTTCTGCGGTTTTCCAGGACTCGGAGGCTTGCCTGCAGCAGCAGCAACAGATGCTCGGCTGCAGTTGGCGACGTGTCGCCCGAGCGCTTTGAGATATGATCAAGGCGAACCACCCATCTGCCCATATCTGCCCCTGTGTCAAGCACATGAAAGCTGGACATTCTTGCTCCTACCTCGGGAAAGAGGATGCCATGCTACCCACTTGGTGTGGGAGAGTGAATGCTAGGCAAAGCCGTAGCGAATTCAGTCAAAGAGAGGGAGGGAGGTGATGCGCGATCTGCCCGCTGGGTACCGGAAATAAATTTGGTTGGGTCCTGTCTTTCTGGCTGGTGCGACACGGGCAAGTGTGTGCAGTCGCTTTTCGCTTCTTCCGTCTTCTTCCATTCCGTTCCCTTTTGGCGTCCATGAGCTGGACATGTTGCAAGACGTGACCTGTGAGGATGAAGCTAGAAGCCACGTGGCTGTCACACCTTGCCGGCACCTGGCGGGACTCCTACGGTGCTGTGGGAAGCCGCTTGGTCCGAACGGCACCTTCACAAAGCTCGCCGAAGCAATGTAAATCGGTAGCATCGTGAGAGGATTCCATGCAGACTCGTTGGTGATGATCGAGGCGGGGAGCAGGCTGCGAAGACAGCGTGTGTGCAAGATAGCGCCACATGTCCTCCGTCCCGCTCATTGTCTTGTCATCCCGGTCATCTCTTGTGCAAGCTGCTGGCTTGTCAGGATGGAGAGACGTCCGCCGTGAAGGTTCAACAAGCGACCTCCAGCAAGGCAACCCCTCAGATAAGCACCAGCGGCCATAACCCGCCAACATGTCAATGTGTCTGCTTGAACAGCCAGGGCGCACGAAGGACAGATCTCCTGCAATCCTCATACTCTCCTTCGTGCGTGCGCAAACAGGCATCCATCCTGGTGCTGCTTTATGGCGACTTCTGGGAGGCAGTGGGGCTAGGAAAGCGCGAGGATGGGCGAGCTGTGACCCAGAAGCATGTTGTACTGCAACTTGACCTTCCCAAGGGCGTGCAGGATCGTGCAGGGCAGGGGCAATGCAAGGCTTTTCACGGTCGCCAGGCCGATGCCGACCTCCAAGCCGATTCCTTGAGCTGGTCAACCGGCGAGCTTTGGGAGAAGGAGCCGAGAGGCCTGCGGTTGAAACAAAGTAGTCTAGCTTCTAGCGCTTGTCTGAGGCACACGTGTGGCCAGTTCGGACATCCATGATCTAAGGTTTTGGCAAGGTAGGAGTGCAAGCCATTGCCGTTGAGATTCGACAGGCTTTGCTGGCCGTTGAGTGCTGCCGCGGCATCGTCGTGCCGTGCCCTATCATGCTGATTTTTGCTGACGTGTTCAGCGTACCCCTCAAGCAATGGGTACGCAGTAAGATGGTTCTTCCATTACGGCGCCTCTCCGCTGTATGGCAGCGTCCGCAGGATGCCGCGGGTCAAAAACACACGTAATTGGAACCAAAGGTGTGCCAACGACGAGAAGCTGCCAATGTACATTGCTGCATGCCCGTCTCAGTCAGTCCGACTTGTAGACACCTGCCGTCATGCTCCAGCAGCCAGCAGGGCAATCCCGATCTCTTGGGAAGCATTCTGACCTTGGGGTTGTTCTTTGAGGGTACGAGCCTTTGTCAGCGACCAGCTCCCTGTTCAGAGCATGGGGCGGCATTCGTCCCTTCCAGCCCGAAGGAGAGACCGGTCCCAACTGTTTGATGTACAGGTTAGTGATGATTAGTTGCAGAGCGTGCGTATGCAAAAACGAACGCCGGACGCACCTCGTGGGATGATTGGAAGGGCTGCAGTCTCTTCAGCATTCGCTATGTGCTCGGCAAGATCACCGCCTGCAGGTTGGGACAAGCTAGCAATGGTGTCCTTTGTTTCCTAGAGTTAGCAGGTGCATCATAAAAAGTAATGTTTCCACACAGCTTTTTGCACATCAAAGCTCAAGCTTCCTGCCTAGTCAGTTTGTGCGTAGGTGTGACAGGATGATGCAAACTTCGAAAAGTTGTGGGGATCAAGTTTGTAGGCAGGCGGAAAAAGGTGCCCACAAAGAAACCCGGTTGGTCCGAGGGGATGTAAGTACAGCGGGTTTTATGTTTTCCCAACTCGTGGGTCACTGCGCGACATGTCTGCATGATGACCCGCTTTCGTGGCTCACTGACTTGCAGAGGTTGAATGGGCTGTAGAACGACATACCGCAGCTGCACATTCGAGGTTTCAGGAACTTTAGAGTGTCATTGCGAGCTTGACAGGATCATTGGTAGTCGGGGAGGGCCAGTGCGATGGAATGTTTGAATGCCGTTTTGTCACGCTTGGACCGCACAGAGGTCCTCGGTATCATGCAATTACACGTGCCAAAGTTCATCTTCCTTCTTCATGTAGCCGCGCATGTTTTACTGCGGGCAGGCTGACATCTTCAACGTCACACAAGAGTTGGCTGTCCTGCGTGAATGTCTTGCAAAATCTGGGGCTCTGAGCCAAGAAGTGTTCAAAGCGCGACTCCATCACAGGCGCCACCTGACTTTCAAGTGATGGGCCAGAGTATGCGATTTATCTACCAGCTTGTGTGCATGTGTGAACAAGGTTTTGAAGCACTTCGACAACATGTCGAGCCGCCATTGGTGCAGAGCAGAGACTCCAAGCCGATTTGGATGCAGTTGCTGCTGTGGTCTTGTTTCCGCAAGTACTCCCGAGGACGAGTCTCTCTACGATGCTCTGGATCATGCCAGCCTACTCCTTCCGATCGTACAGTTTTCAGGTTTGCAATGTACTTCTGCGTTGGAGAGGTCTTCCAAGCAAGCTCTCTGTCTGAGGGACAATATAGTACCTTTTCGATCGTTTTCCGACTGTCTTGCCGTTGGCAATAAGGCAACACGTGTGGCAAAAGCGTTGTACGTTCCAAGCGAGTCAAGGCTGTGACCGCGCTGCGGAGATTGATGGGTCCGATCAAAGCCTGCTTTACAAAGCTGTATGTTTGCGGCGGGTGCCAAAGAAGCACCGACATTGAAGCAGGCGGGTTGCAGCAGCACAAGCTTGCTGGAACGAAGGGCCAATTTACGATGCCGTGATTGCTGCCAGGCCATGTGACAGTTCCGCCACTGATAAATGTGGTTAATACAGCTCGGGGCATAGTGCGGCGATCCACGCTGCCTGCCGTCTTGCACTCATCTCGTAAAAAATTGCGCCATCAGGTTGAACGAATGGATCTGAACCAGATGTTAGATGCTACGGTATTTCCAGACTGGGAGGCACCCTAGACAAGACGTCGAAGACTGCTGATGATGAGCATTGCCCTGTTCACTTTATGCAAACTGCTGTCGGCCCCTTTGGCGAGGTGCTGCGGAGTGGCCCTGAGATGACGTCTCGATCGGATGCAGTCGCGGCAATCTTGCAGGGAAGCTTGTACATCTGTGGTGGACAGGCCTTTTTGCATTGTAAATGCTGAAAGAAATCAAGACTGCAGTGCAGCGCGGCGGGTTTCGGCCACTCGCCATAGGACGGCATGGGGGTGCTGAACAGTGCATGTCGTTTTCATCCTGCTCGTGGCGACTGGGAGGCCCGTCCTTGCCTTTGCCATTGCGGACTTTCAGGGTAATAATCGTACATAAGAAGTGAGGAGGGAAGTGCAGGAGGCAGTCACTCTGTCTATGGTGCCCAGCTTCTCATGCAATGCAGGATGACAACAGGTAAACGACTTGAGAAGCCTGCGAAAGAGCTGTGCTCACAGCAGTACGTGGTAGGACGTTGCATCCTTTTCGGTCCCATCAGGGCGACTGCAAGAAGCTTCAGTCGCAAGACTAAATTACATTAACGAAACAGGTATCGAAGGCTTCGATGACGGTGCGCTTGCATTCTGCCTCGAACTGTCAATAGGGTCCCAACTTATCAAGCTTCTGCAGTCAAGGGTGGGACGCTGGACGTTTGCAGTATGTTCCCACAATGCCGACGATGTTGAACTTCAGCACAGTGATCCTGCCAGTTTTGCGGAGCCTTCCATCGAAGACAGCAGAAACAACATGGCGGCCGGGCACAAACAATGCAAAACCAAGTGTTTCGAGCCAGGCAATTAAGAGACGGTAAGAGCTTTGGAACGCAACTTCTGCTTCAAAACCCAGCTGAAGAATTCAAGCTATCAGCGTCGGCCTTGCAGGAAGTACTCAGTGTACTTGTTGTTTGTATCAGCACTGTAACAGGCAGTAGCACTCCCTCTAGTCACCACGAGCAGCAGACGCCAGCCGCATGTCAATATGTGGCGACCGCACGAATGCATCCTTGTTGCTACAAGTGCAATATGCAGCAGTGAGGGCAGACACGAATGGCCTTCGGCTTGCAATTGATCCTCCACTCGAGTGTCATCAGTGCGGCAGCAGGTGTTGCCGTCCATGTGGCAGGGGCGCTGGAATGCAACAGGACGCAACTGTCTCTTGCCTGGCATTGCCGGCAGCCAGCTTCGAGTTATTCAGGTAGGGCATCACCTGTGACATGTGTCCTTGCATTTTGACTTGACCCGTGAGCGGAGCTTTGCCCTCCGAAGTGCTTGGCCGTGTATGGATCGTTAGTCAACGGCGTGCTGCTCTGCGCAATCCGATCCTGGGCAGGAGGAGCTGTGGATGGGTGCCTTTATGTTTGTGGCGGAGCAGACAGCAGCTGCTGGGCGTTCACTTGGCTTGTGAACGCTTGAAGCCGGACCTTTCTGGTGCTCTGAGCATTTGTGCTGAGGTAGCCCTCTCAATTCCAGCGAGCGTTTCAATCCTCTTACTCATACATGGGAAGTCATGAGTCCTATGCTTCGTCAACGTTCAGGTGGCAGACTTAGCTCCGGGCTGCAAAATGCTGCAATGCTGGTCTGGCAAAAGTAGGTCTGCAAGCCTCTTAGCCACCAGGCTCGGTGAGTGCCATTTTGGGAAAAGCCCTGCTTGTGGCGGGTGGTGGCGATGGCCAGCAGCCCCTAAGCACTTTGTCTCAAGTCGGAAGCACTTCTGTACATCGTCGTCGCATGTGTCCGGGTGCAGTGCTACTCGATCCTCCAGGTTCAGCGGAACGTTTTTCATCTTCCAGCGCAAGCTGGGAAGTGCTTTACTGAGACTTCGTGGGAGTGTAGCCAGGTTCTGTCGAATGACTCCAAAGAGCAGTCCGAAGCATGCCGCCAAGGTCCTGCCCGCCATGGCCCACCGCCGTATTGGAGCCGTTTCGGCTGTCCTTCATGAGTGCTGGCAACTCTTTGGCAGCCCATAGGCATCACGTCCTCCATCACGTCTCACGTCGCACTCGCTGTTGTTCGCTGGACTGCCCTCTGCCGTTTTCGAATGTCGTTTAGTGTGGTCAGACCTAGCTGATTGGGTCTTCAATGTGACGGCCTCACTTTGCACACATCGCCGCTGCTGTCTCATACCTCGCAGTTCAGTTGTGACTTGTGACATGACTATGCCAAAGAAGCAGTCAGCTTGTGATTCTAAAGCTCCTCTGACCGCAGACTTGAGTGCTGCAAGGTATGTTTGTGGAGGTGGAGATGGTCACCACGTCTTGGCCTTGTTCGACATCTTTCTGAACTTTTCAGGAACTCAGGGAAGTGATGTTGACAACTTGAGCCAGGTGCTGGATTCTGTTGAAATGTTCCACACGCAGCGTCTGTGCTGGGAAAAACTTGCTCCTATGACATGTCCCCGTCGCAACTGGCCTGGTTTGCAGTGAAACAGAGTGTAAGTTGAGTGTAAGTGTGATCCTGTGCAAAGCCAGAGCTCGAGTCGCCAGGTTGGGGCAGCGTCGTTGGTGTGCTGGGTCATCACTTATACGTGCCCTGTCTGCACGTGTGGCCACAGAGCTTGTGCAAGAGTTCGTGGAATAAGTGTTTCAGAAACTGCACCGACTCCAAGAATTCACAGATGCGCCTGAACAGTTGGGCCAACCATGCCCAATCCAAATGCGATGCAGAAATCTCGGACGGGGTGCAGCAACCTTCCACTCATTGTCCATTTGCGCTACCTACGCTACCTACCTCATGCTAGAAGCATATATTGCTCAAGAGAGTTCAAAACCGCCGCGATGTCACCGAACTTGAACAGCCCGCCCCAACACGCACCATGTTTACAAGGAGCATAGAGCCTACGGTAGTGCCTCGGTCGTTGAACTGACAATCCTCAGCGGTGATGGTGGGGTCTTAAGAGTGTTCTCCGTGCCCATTCTGGTCTCAAGGACGACACCCGATTCTAAGAGGGTGTGAATCCAGCAACCGGCGGCGTAGCTTGCACATGGACCGTGCGGGCGTTCCTGTGACTCACTCGTGGGACCTCGCCTCTGGTGGACCACTTGTGACCTTCTGGGCTTTGTCCGTTCCATTCCGTGGTCACGTCCTAAAGGTGTTGCGTTGAAGATCGCCTCGGCTTCCATTTTGCCACTCGAATGGCGCTCACGCGTTCACTGGCCACTCTGTTACAGTTTTGCCCGCCCGAAGAAACGAGCTCTGGATACAACAAATACTGGAATAAGGAGGCAAGCTCCTCTGGCTCAGTTCGCTGAACTCGCCGGCGCAGATTGGCACACGTCCGAGGTCCGAAGCGAGGTGGGGACATTGCAGCGACTGGCAAGTTCGAGCCCAGGCTCCGGTGGCCAATGCCGTGGTCGGCCAAACTGCCTGAATTCGGCCTGTGGGGGGAAGCACCGCGTGTGTTTAACCAACCTTTCCATGCCGCAAATGCGCTGAATCAAAAAGCCTGGCGACGTTACTGCACGTGGCCGTTTGCGGGGCGATGCCCAGTTCGAATGGGTCTCGGCGAGCCAAGCTTCGGATTAGCTAGCGGAGCGACCTTTGCGACCAACAGATAAGGTTCAAAATCTTTTGCTGAGCGATGTATATCCAAGCGGTTGCCGGGGGAGCAGTTCACGATTGTCGTGTAAAACAATAGCCTGTGGTTGTTGTAGTGACTATCGTCGGTGTGGGTGGTGGGGTCTTGAAGCTGTCGTCCGTGGCCAGTTTGGTCTTACGGACGACACCCGCTTTTAACCCACCCGCCATCTCCGGGTCTTTTTTTGTCCACTTGAGTTTTCCGGCGCCAAGCTTCAGATTAGGAACGGGAGACGCTGAGCGGTGTAAATCTATGGCGGTTACTGGCCCGATGACCTCGAATCGAATTGTTCTTTTTCGCGCAGTCTGCAGTACAGTACGGGCAGTCGCCAAGTCAACTGCACGGAACAGTGCATTAATGTCCAGGGCACTGATTACGGGCACCTGCATTTTATCTGTTGTTTTTTCGTTGTACTAAGACGGAGTGGTTTAGCCTCAGTGCATAGGGCCGCCAAACAAGACAGGTGTGTGGTGGTGGCACGGGACAATCTGTCAGCCTGCCTCGCTTCAGCGGCCAAGTTTGTATGACGCATGTGCTAGAATTTAGCCAGGTGTTGCGCGGAGCCGAGCGCTACAACACCGAAAGCCGGACTTGGGAGGATTACGTTGCGTCTTAAAGGTCTCGAGATTTTGCCAGTCGGTTACCATCTCCCAGTCGGAGGAGCTACCGCCTATGCAAAGCCACAGATGGGGTGCGACCTGTGTGGTGGCTTTGGGTTGCGTCTATGTGCTCGGTGGTGTGGGCCTTGGAGTGTCCCAGCACTGCCACGGCTCATACCCCACTGCCACGTCATTCTTACAGCAATAAGGACCGCCAGCGGTTCACCAATTCAAGGAGCCCCTCGTGTATACCGATACCATAAAAATGTTCATATGAATAGATTTGCCATAGAAATAGATTTGCAGCATGTACACAAGCATGTACTGGTTTTGTGTTCTGTTTCTTTGCTTTTGTGTTTCTGTACTTATGTGTTTGCTGACGGTTTTGCATGTGGCTGGATAGAGCAATAGACGGGTGCATATCTACCGTTATGTATGCTTCTACCGGCACAGTGTATGAATGACGGACAATGAACGAATGAATGGATGGAAGGAGCGATATGACATGAAGTGAAGTGAAATGAAGTGAAATGACATGTGCGATGAAATGCAACGAATGAACGAATGACTGAATGAATGAATGAAGGAAGGAATGTATGAATGAAGGCAAAGTTGTCAACGACAGCACGGTGACAGTGCGAAGATAGTGCAACGGAAGTGCTTCTCTAGATGTTTGAATGTTCGTATGTACGTATGTTTGCATATCCTTTCATGCTGCACGTATAAGGTACATGTATACACCGCAGCTATTTGCTCATTCCTGTTCCTTGTCATGCAGAGTACTTCTGCACAGCCGCCATAGCTGTGCAGAAGTTATGCAGAAGTTAAGAGCCTACGAGAGAGGACAACGTATGCACATATGCAGAAGTTGCGTTTCGGACTTCTGCGGAAGCTACATAGCCACAGGGGTCTATGCAGGAGTCATACGGAAATCGTCCGGTTATGCGTCAGAACAGCTGTTGATGCGTCGGAACATCGTTGTATGCATAATCGCCCGACTCCCGCATAACTTCTGCATAGGTCGGTGATGCAGAAGCTATGCAGAAGTTTGCCGAGGCTTGGAAAATCTACGGCTTTTTGGCGTGCGTCCGCGAAGGGGGCCCCTCATTGTGCTCTCCCCTATGGGGTTGGTGGGTGGGTGGTACTGTAGAATTTTTTTGCGAGTCATTCTCTCTGCCGGCCTTCCCTCCGCTGTTGGATCGGCAAGGGAGGGGGAGGTCAGGACGGGGGGCAGGAGAGCAGACAGCGAGGCAGGGAGATAGGGGGGGTTATGTAATCTCACAGGTCCCTTTTTCGATGTTGAGTCTTCATAACGATCCCTGTAGGGATTTCTTGTCGTAATTCTCGGCTTAGAGGTGCAGGGGGACGAGGTTAGGGGGCCCTAGTCGCTGCTGAAGCAATGCTCAGACGTATGGATATTGATATGTTATAGGCATGTGTGCAGGTATGTACGTACAAACGGATGGATGGATGAATGTCTGTAAGAAGGTCGGCGGATGTATGTATGTTGCCAGCAATTCGAATCGAAAACATGAACCATGTGTGTTTGGATGTCCACGCACAGAGCCTTGTGCAATGAGCACCAACACAATCTTCCAGAAGGTCGGTCCGGAGCGAGAGCTTTTCTTCAACATGTATGCGACTGCCGCGGCAGTGGCAGTGGTACTGTTGCAAGCTCGTGCTTTTCAATGGCCAAGGAAGCAGCGGCACAGCGCCACTGGATACAGCGGAACGCTTCAACCCTGCAGCTTGCGTACGGCCCGCAGACCTTAAGTTGGAAGGCTTGGCGCCGTAGGTTTATGCAAGATTGAGAGCTCCACTCAGGCCTGGGAACAGTTGCCCAACATGGGACAGCCGCGATACAGGTGCCGTCGAAGCTTCCGGCGCCCTTTGCGTACATGTTCCGTGATGTTGCGGCTGCAATCCAGGGGAGCAGCTGCCATTGTTATTGGCTGAGTGGTACCAGCCTGAATCTGACTTCTGATGCCTTCGGCCTTCTAAACACGGAGACAGACCCTGAAAATGCTGCTCGTACAAGGCACATCTCCGGACAAAGAGACAGGAGTTGAAGCAGTGTTCAAGGTGGACGGACCTCCGTGAACGCCCTGTCGAATAGTGTAGCGGGAGCAAAGACCTCCTCTTCTATGTTTGCATCCTCCCGATCGTCTGCGATCCCGGTGCTTCAGGGCATGGATGCTCAAGAAGAGCAACCACGCCGCCCTAGCATGGGTGCTGTGAGCAGGCCCTTGCTCCATTGCATCCAGAACGTGCTGTTTCTCAAGCGCTGCCGGTTGACACAGCCCCGTAGTTCTTCGTGCCAAGCAGAACTGGAGCTTGATGATTGGATGAGTTTCGCTGCAAGACGACTGTAGAACGCAACGTCTTTTTCGGTGGCGCTTCTCGGATGGCGTCTGCCGTCGCGGTTTCTGCATCGAGCCGAATTCATTTGCAATCACGGTAGGCTTCGAGATGCTGTAAGTTGGTCAGCCAGCGACATGGGCAACACGGACTGCCTGTGCAAAGCGTGCAAGCTATGACTCTCAGCCCGACGCACGTACCAATCCGGAACAAGCAGAGGATAGTAACCCAAGCACTTGTGACAATTTGCCATGGAGGCACCAAGGCAGCGACGGCAGGAGCTTCGAAAACATACAATCAACAGAAAGAAGTGATACAGAGCGTGTCTAAGCGTCACGCTGCATCAGTCAATGACAGGAGTGCTGTGAGAAACCCGGTGCAGTGCATGCCCGGGACTTGGTTTAATTGTGCATTTCCGGGCTTCTCAGAGACACAGTGCAGCACGGCCAGGATGGTCAAGCCGATTCCGAGCCTGAGAAGGATGGGCAGAAAGAAGGCCACAAAGGCCAGAAAGAGCACCACGGTGATGGAATGCATCACCCTTGCTGCAGGAGCCATTGTTGCATTCCTTACAATGCTTTCCCCTAGCTACGGACGGCTTTTTTCAAGAGCTTGTCCAAGACCACATGCCAGAACAGGAGATTCCTTGCATCCCCAATATGGAGATGCACGACGCTTGTCGACGGGGCTCCAAGACTCTGTCCTGGCTTGCTGCTCAACGCACATCTGGTCCACGCTGCGGGGCACTTCGCCCGAGGTCGTGGGCTTTACTCCAGTGGGGTGGCCCAGATGAGAGAAGAACAAAAAAACCTGTGGTCCAGTTTTTGAAGCACGGCACTACACTCGACGCTCGGGGCTCGCAAGTCCGCTCCCATGCGGTGCCGTGCTCCTCGGAGGTCTTTGGCATGTGGCTAGCGATGCCCGAGCTCTTGGCGGCACTCGAGATCTCTCCTTGGTCGCCGCGGCCCCAACGACTTTCTCTGCGATGTGTCAAGTGTCAGGCCAGCATAGGCCAGCAGCCACAAAAGTGCATTGGCACACGATGTGAGCCTGTGGGCGCTCCCGCTTTTCCCTAACCATGCTCTCAAGTGTGCGTCGTTCGTACATAGTGGATGGGCCCAGGCCCACCCTCAATCCATTCCAATCCCCTACCACGAGCACATCTGACAGGAAGCCTGCGTTATGAAGGCGTGACGATTTCGAATTGAGCAGCTTGGGCGAGCCAACGGGACTGTTGCAGTTTCAGCTCATAGGTCCTGCCTCGGCACCACGCGCCAAGTCAAGAAGCGCACTGCAGGGAGCATCCGAAGTTACCCCTTTCTGTATCAGATCTTTTCGTGTTCGGCAGCGTCCTGCCAGCCTTGGCACGCTCACCGAGCCCTGCGGCTAGTAGCCATCCGAGAAGTAAGCATCTCACATTTGTCAGGGGCTTTGTCAGTTATCTGTGCGATGTCTTGTCGTGTTTCCAATGTCTTGTATGTTTGAACATGGTTGCGGGTAGGTGCATCGAGGAGGAAAAGCGGAACATCGGCTGCAGTGAGGTCGAAGGTGAACGCCAGCCACACGAATCACGAAGGACATCAGCCGGTGTTTGCGCCACACTAGGCGATTTTATTGCCCGTGTGATGCACAGGGCTACTTGATTATTTCGTAGCAACCTGTATACTCTCGAGGATCACAGAATTTCAGCTCGTAGAGCGAAGCTCGCCAACAAGCTTCATCTGATAGCACATGTATGGTGCAGCACATCTGCATAAGGGGCACGGCAGAGAAGTTGTACTGTGATGTCGTTGCAAACAAAGCAGCACCAAGTGCAAGAGCAAGTCTGAGCGACCAAGTACCTTTCGGGCCGGCCCTCCACGCACAATTACACGGTGCACAGTATCTGCAAGCAGGCCATTTCGGCGAGACAGTAGCAGCAGTAGCAACATGAAGGATGTGCACGGGAAGAAGACAGAGCTTGACATGGTCACGTAGTGATGCCGGACTGACAGACACTTGCTTGCGACACAGAGCCGAGCTGACAGCAAAAGCCCAGGCTGACTTGGGCGATGAACTTCCTATTCGGCAGCTGGCACCTTGATAGAAGTCGGTCGCAGGAAATCGAGTTTCAGTTGGCTGGGCGTTTTGCCGCAGAGTGTGCATTGATGAATTGGTGACGATGGGGTCAGCTGTGGGTAGCATGTTCCTGTACCATGGAGTTTGGGGAGCGCTTGTTCCCAGGATTTCCATTCAATTCCTCTTCAACTTCATAGCGTCGGTGCCTCAAGGGATGCAGTTTGGCAACAAAGCATTTCCTTCTGGGGTGAGCTATCTTATCTTGTGCACAGGACGCAGTGGACAAATCCCGGAGACTGCAAGAACATCAAGCCACCCCACGAGGCCAGATCTTGCGTTGCAACATCATACGCATTTGTCCAGCACTTGCCCATCTCGTTGTCGCCTTAGATCATAGTCGTCGTCCTGATTCCTTCTTTCATGTGGTTGTAGCCGTACGCATCAGACCGCATGTCCTTTCAAGGCACAAGGCAGTGTCAGCTAGATGCGGTGCTTCCTGAAAGCTGCTGATGCAGTACTCGCTTGAACACAGTTTTTCGGTTGAAGGTGACAGGGCAGTTCGAGTTGGGCAGCGCGCTGCTGAGATTTTGTTGTCCAGAGGATATTTATCGGGCGGGCAAACAGGCGACACCAGGTGACACGCAGTCGCTTAGCTGTCGCATGTGTGGGCTGCGCTGCGGTGTAGTTTCGGCGGCGTGACATTTCTGCAGCGAAGCCTTCAGGATGTGATGATGCGCCCGTGACTCAGTACTCATGCATTTGTCAACTCTTTGTTGACGGGGGGTATGCCGCTGAAAATGCAGGCCACAGCTACTCTATGCACCGAACTGGTGCACGTCGCTCGGATGCAAAGCATCCACCTGAGTATCGAGATACGACGGATCCCACAAGAGGGCAGGCTGTGGCGAAGCCGGTATCTAGTCGTTCCGTCTCTTGTTCCGGGCAGGACTGTCGGACAGATAGGATAGAACACTTTAGCAATTCGAAAAATGGACGGAGAATGATAACTACAGCACTGGCAAGACATGCGCACGAAGACTTGGTGTTCAGTGCCTGTGTGCAAATCGACAACACAGTTTGTTACCTGGTAGTCCCTGCGGGTCAAGCCTGGCTTTTATGCCCGTCTCGGAGGAAGTGTGGACATTGGAAGCCACCCAGATCTCATCACTGCCGATGGCTCTGGACGTGTTGTCCTTTGACTCAGCCGTTCAAGCTTTGAAATGTTGCCTGGCCAGGTAGCATGAGCAAGCGGTGCATTCTTCGCCCGTGCCCCAGCAATCACAGCAGGATCGCGTATCCAAAATGTCTTTTTTTTTGTGTCAAAATGTCTTTT